CTGAAAGCCTTACTGTGTGATCTCATGGATGTGAACCTTGGAAATGGGCAAAGACAGATAGATAGACAGACAGACAGATATAGATGGATAGATGAGAGAGGGGAGAGATGGACAGATGATAGAGATGGACAGATGATAGATAGATAGATAGATAGATAGATAGATAGATAGATAGATAGATAGATAGAAAGAAAGAAAGAAAAAGAGAGAGGACAGAGTATAGCCATGGTCACCGGGGGTGGGCCAGGGTGGGCGGGGCAGTGCTCTCTGAACTTGTACTTATGGGGATGGACCACTCAGCCCAGGGATACTGAAACTAGTGATGACGACATATGACTGATGTATGATTGTGCTGTGTATATGGGAAAGGGATTCACATATGTGTTGCTATCTATATTTTCACAGCAACTGAGAAGCAAATGCAACAAACAAAGCCTCTGAGAGCCCAGCCCTGCACGCTCTCTCTGTCTCTGTCTCTCTCTCTCTGTCTTTCTCTCTCTCTCTCTCTCTCTCTCACACACACACACACACACACACACACACACACACACACACACACACACGGGGTCGTGTGAGTCACAGGTGACGTGATAGCAACTGGCTGGCTTTTTGGCAGGACACTGAGATGCAGCCCACCCTCCGCGTCTCTTCAGTTACTCAGCACACAACTGCCTTTGTGAATCATCTACAATCTCCTTACGACTCCTTGTGCATTTTTGGAGGTGACCTCGTCCATCTCTTACAGGGGTGAGGAGAAAGGAGAGACTCTCAAAGCAACAGCGAATGACACCCTGAGACAGCCATGCCTGGAAGCAGGCTCTGCCACTAAACACTCTGGCTTCAGACCCTGACACCTCTCATCGCTACTTTAACCAGGTGGAGCTGGGTTTTCTGTGCTTGCTGTGACCAAGAGGAACAGGGACCGTAGTATTCCTGGCTGGCCCTGTCCTTACTTCTCACCTGCACGGGGACACAAGTCCCCTGAATTCAGACTCTGTCCATGGCTCACCAGCCCTGGGCAGCCCCTTCCCAGCAAGCCTCTCTCTCCTGCCTGTATCCCCTCCAGGGCATCCCTGCTGCTTGCCACTCCGTGGCCTCCTTGAGGTCCCCGCTATTCTTCCCCATGGCTGCTGACATTTCAGTAGCCAGTTCTGACCTGCGGCGTCAGGCATCTAGAATATTCCACTGCAGTTTTCTCCTCACGCTGACCCAGAAGCATGAGTGCGTGCAGACCAAGAGGCCTCCACACAAGGCCCCATTCAGCCCCCTGCCCACCTCTGAGATGAACACGCAGAGACGCCCCAGCTCACACTCTCACCTCCCTCTAGTTGTAACCCCTGGCTTCATGACGGTTCTGAATGGAACCTTTGGCTTTTTGGTGGCAAACAATATCAGTATCAAGAGCACCGACTCCCCCTCCGTGCTCAGGTGGAGGTGAGTCTGCTTCCGGCGGGAGTACCAGGTGCACCTGAGTCAGCTCCGGCTTGGCATCACCCATGCGTGTCCACGTGGGGCCAGCTCCACGGGGTAGGACTGACCCTCAGGCCTTTCTCCCGAGGTGTCTCTGGGTAGACTAGAACTTCTGACTTTTCAGTGAGCTGCTGAGTGTGCTCACCGTTTGCACCATCGGGGCCTTCTTCCAGGAGGTGAGCGCCGTCAAAACCAAGCACAACAGAAGTCACAGCCCGACCCCACGCGGCTGAAGGCCTGGCGCATTCCGACCGAGCAGGAGGAGGGGAGAGAGGGTTTGGACACGCTGAAACTGTACACTATGAACACACGTGTCTCAGCTGCCCTCGGGCCAAGGGCTCAAACTCCAGTGTGCCTCTTCAACCAGGAAAACAAAAACCTGACAGGCTTCTGAGCTTCCTTCACAGAGAAGTGTCTGGCTTGGGAGGCCTTGAAGAACGGGGGACAGGCACCCTAAAATCAAGCATCCTCATGCTTCCCCAAGAGCTTGAAAGGAAAAGTGCACGTGGGACATCTAAGTCCTCTGGAAAAAGCCCAACAACACTTCAACACCGGAGTGTGCAGACAGGAACAGGAGCCTGGTGGGGATGAGTGCAGCCCCACGGCCAGGGGAGGCCCAGGTGAAGCACGTGCTCAAGCGCTGGGCGGCTAACCCAAAGGTGAGAGGTTCAGGTTCACCCACAGGCACCTCAGAAGAAAGGTCCAGTGATCTATTTCTAAAAAACCAGCCACTTAGGGGAGCTCTGGTGGCCTAGTGGCAAGGAGCTGCAACTACAATCCCAGAGGCCCACAGTTCGAATCCACCAGATGCTCTGCCGGGGAAGGAGGGGCAATCTCCTCCTGTACCAGTCAGATCTGATTTGACGGTACACGCACACAAAAATAATAAAAAAAAATAAAAAACCAGCCACAGAACACTCTACAGAGCCCATTTGTGACATGGCGTGGCTGCGAGACAGAGTGGACTGGGGGACAGCAGGTACGCTTCAGGGTGGTTAAGACTTCCATGCTCCCAGGGGTGCACCCGGCATCTCTGAAACAACTCCACAGGTGGGATTCCAGCAACCCAGGAAGGGTCTTTGAGCCCTGGGAAGTGAGCTGGGAAGCCGGGTCAAGGGCCGGGATCAGCCACCTGCATCCTCCCTCACTCGGGCATGACTAGAGTCCGTGAACGTGGTGGCCCCAGTCCTCACTCTGGTCAGCTCTATCCTGATAACACAGACAGACCTTCAAACATGTCAGGCCCAGCCACTCCTGCCACTGAGTGGACTAGGACTCATTGCGACCCCATGAATAACAGCTCTGAACTTCGCCCTATCCTGAGTCAACCTCACGGTCTCGGATTCATCTGACCCCACGACCCAGTCACTGTGTCAATTCATCTAATGCAGGGTCTCCCTGTCCTATGCTGACCTCCACCCTTCAAAGCATAACATCCTTCTCCAAGGACTGGACCCTCCTGAAAGCACGCCCAAAGTATGCGGGATGGAGCTTCGAAATCCTTGCATCCAGGGAGCAATCTGGCTTCCCCCTCTCTCGGACACATTTGTTCTTGTGGCCGGCTGTGGTACATTCAATACTCTTTTCCAGGACCACAACTCAAAGGCATCGATTCTCCTGTCATCCTCCTGACTGGAGGGGTCACTCGGAACAGACAGGTGTGGGCACAGTGACACACGGAGGGCGGCACATCTGGGGTTAAAGGCAGTCTCCGAGGAGAGCTGTAGCAGTGGCACGACACTCCCACTGCTCTAGCTTCCTGCTCTAGCCTCCCACAGAGGCTTCAATCCCGGAAGCTGTGGGTCTGCCAGGCCAGCAGGCCAGCGTGGCCGGCACGTGCGGGAATGTCCACCAACCAGAGCATCTCCACTTGCCCTGGGGCATGGGGGCCACAGTCACAGATGAAGCCCCACAATTGACCAGCTGGTGATCATGAAACAAGCCAAGGCCCCTCACCACAGGGCGCTCCGCATCTGCAGCCTCGCCTGTCATTTAAAACCGAGAGCCAGCAGCAACCTGCTTTAACAAACGAGGTTCTCTCTCATTTCCGCCAAACGCACGAGAAGGGGACTGACACCACAGCCCCATCCTCCAGAAGGTGATTCAACTCTGTCTCTGCATTTCCATGCAGGTTACACATCGAGTTAACCCACAAAGCCACCGTGGGCTCCAGGCTCCATCACCACGGATCCACACCCACAGTTTGAAAGCACCCAATGAGCTCACTTCCGCATGCAAACCAGGCTCTGATTGGCCAGGAAGAATTCAAATACATCCTTAAGCCAAGTAGGAGGAGAGGAGATGCAGGACGCTTGGAAGAAGTTGCACCACCTTCTCCATTTTCCTGGACTCTCTCTCCTCCTAAATTATCTGGTTTTTTTTCAGATTTCCACCTCTCTTCAGTCGTTTTGAGAAATGCTCAGGAGGGGATGGGCAGAACTGAAACTTGAGAAAGATATCCTTGGGTAATGAAGAGAACTGGGTTGGCCTGCACCTTCCACGAAAGCTTGTGATGTGGGCACATTGTTGGTGGACAGAACAAATGCCCTGCTTACCTGGCGGCTAACTACCATGTGGCTGGCTGGACGCTCACATGCTGGTCCCCACAACTGCGTGAGGGAGTCTGAAGCCGATGCAGCAAGGATCAGGCTTAACATGGAAGGAACTGGAGTCCTACCAGGCCCATCTGAATCTCCAGAATGGTCCATCCGTCATTTCCCCAGCCTACAAGATAGTCTTTTATTCTGCATAGTGCCAGAAACTAACACGTTCCTTTGAGTAACAAGATTGCAAGTAACACCCAGAAGTGCAGAAAGGGAGGAACTCAGATGTGCTGGAGACTCTAACATCTCCTTCACACCCACCAATGTGCCAACTCCAGGTAGATCTCCAAAACAACGCACTGTCTAGTGGGCTTCTTCCAGAGAAGGGGTGTCCCTTCTTTACTACAGCAAGGCCCGCTAGTTCTCCAAACATCTAAGCACGGCCATTTCCACTTTATGCCACTGACCACAACCACCCTCCATGCCCAAGCACCAGCACGGTCTTTCTCAACTACTATCCATCCAACTCCCAGTTCCTGAAAATGGCAAAGCCATAAACTCTTAGCCACCAATGTCACAGACCTCAGGCAGGTGGGAACCAAGGAGGGGACTCCCCACCCTTACTCTTCAACACAAGGATGGACAATGGCTCCTGCAGCTGCTTGAGAATCACGACTGAAACACCTCTCAGAGCCACATGTGTCTCCAGCGCCATGGCAACAACACTGTTCTTTCTACTCTGAGATCAAGAGTCAAGTGACACTCTCAACTCCTTCAAAGACTTCCAGCCCAGGTCACAGAGACGACTCAAGCTTGCAGGCCCAATGGAAGACCCTCTGCAGTGGGTGGAACAGTCAAGAGCGTGACCCACGGCAGCCTCCATGCATCAGCCCGTCTGATCCGTGACCATGACCTCAGGACCACAGACCTCCTGGACGAGAGTCGGCGCTCTCCGCAAGCAGGAACGTACAAACACCAGCGTCCTACCTCAATCAAGAAGTCCCCAGTCCTGAGTCCGGCTTGCCAAGCCACGCCACCTTCATCCACCGACTCCAGATACTGCAGGGCCGGGAATGCTGGTGTCGGTGTGAATTCTTCGATGGGTGTATCAGCTGGGAAGACAGGGAACACCTCATTAAGGGGGGGAGATGCTTCTCAGGTTGGCAGTCCTCATCTCCCTATCGGACCCCAAGTGAAAGAGGACCATGTGTGTCCTGTTGGAAATGGAGTTGGGGTCCAGGCCCCCATTCTCCAGTGGAGGGCTTGAGACTCAAACCTGTGGGTTAAGTTAACTGCAGCCATCTGCACGTGCCTCCATGCTACTCCTTGGCCCCCGAGCTGAACACACCGGATAACACGCTCGGCTGTACATGTCTACACGCCTGTCATTTTCTTTAAAAGCATCAGTGACTAAACATTTTCAGTGCTAAAAATGGAAAAGTTCCTCCCATGTCACACCGAACTGCAGAAACATCACACCGAGCCACTCACTGAATTTACACTAGGGGAGAGCTGCAACTGAGGGGGACATGGCCGGGAGCAGGGGCAGAGCAGACGCTGGCCCTGTGGGTGGCCATGGGACTGGGGTGGCCTCGGGCATTCTCCCTTCGAGGAGCTTGGCTCTGGGTGGCTGCTGCCTGACCAGCATCCCCAGGAGGGCCGGGCAGGCCGGGCACCGCGCCTCCACGGAGGAAGCCTTGGCTACGGAGGCCCGTGTGCCTGCCAAGTACAACTCCAGGGCAAGAAAGGGGACTTTTCTTGGCAGTTAGGGAGGCTGGGGGTGGTCAGGGGGAGGATGAAGATGTTCTCAGGAGGGGGAGAGAAGCACAGGCCACAGGAGCAGGTGGGGGGACACACACATGCGTCCAGCTTCGTTATCCTCCTGCTATCTGGACAGCGAAGTCCAAGGCCAGGGCAGGTGGGGGATGGTACCGCAAGAAGGCAGCCTCCCTGGCTCAGGTCTGGGACCCCCAGTCTAACGCTAGCAGGGGAGAGGAAGAGCTTACACACCCTTCGCCCCACTCAGTGTAGATGCTGCTCCCTCTCCTGGGAACAAGCACCGAACCATTTTGTTTTCCTCCTGCAGAGAAGCCCCCAAGTTCAGGGCTGATGGTGGAGACATCTCCAGCACTGCAGCCCCAGAGCCTCCCACTACAGGCCGGGGAGCCTGCTCGGCGGAGGTAGGGGGACCATCTTGCCACATTGCCTTTGCAAAGTCACCTTAGAGCCGGGCTCGCTGCCGCCCGCTGTGCGCAGAGCCAGAACCCTCTGGAGGAGCGGGCGGTCTCCAGTTCCCGGGAACTCGGGGGCCGGTGAATTCCGGCTTTGGGGACCCACAGTGAGGCTGAACTGAGCCACGGCACAGAGATGGACCCCATGATCTACCGGAAAAGGTGGGGGAGGGTGAGCCGAGCCTTTCCAGCGAACGCGTGCCCGGAAAATTAAAAATATTCACCAGGGAGCTCCGGTAAGGTTTCCCGAGTAAGGCAGGGTGTTCGAGAAAACGGTTGTCTAGCAACGGAGTGCCCCCAGGAAGGGAACGCTCGCTCGCTGGCCGGGCACCTCTTCCACACGAGCGCGTCCACGCGCGCCCTGCACACACACATGTGGTTGCCCAGGCCGGGCGCCGCGGCTCGCTCTTACCTTTGGCCCCGCGGAGCACGAATCCGAAGCCCTCATTGTCTTTCTTCTGCAGCACCACGGTCTTTTCCTCGATAATGCAGTCACTGTGGGGAGAATTCCGGGGACAGCGACCATTATTGTGACCCACCATCATCACGGCGGCCGGCCCCCCGCCGGGGACGTTCATCATCCTAGCCAATTAGTCCGCCCAGCTCGCCAGCGCCCAGCAGCATGGAGCGGGGCTGGCGGCTCGCGGCGGGAGGAGGGCAGCGCGGGCCCGGGCGGGATAGGCGAGCGGGGACGCGGCGGGGCGCGCGGAGCAGGCGGGCGGCTCCTACGTGGTGCGGCGGCGGCCAGGAGTGGCTGAGCCCTGCTCACGGCATCGGGGGCCGGGGGGACGCCGGCAGGACAGAAAGTAAGTGGCCTGCTGGCCCGGCTCTTCCGTGAGCCCCCCGGGTGGCCAAGTGCCATCAGCCCGCAGAGAAATGAGGCAGCATTTTTCTCCTTCCTCGGCGGGGGTTCGGAGCATCCACCGCGCTCGCTCGCTCCGCACGAGCAGGCGGAAGGCACCCGGAGACGCAGGGCCCGCTGGTGCGTCCACCGCCCCCCTCTCTCCCGTCCTATGGCACGTGGCGCGCGCTGGAGCCCCCACAGTCATCTGACGGCCGCAGCCGCGTCATCCGCACGGAGGACCCCGGCCCGGGGTCGGGGCAGGCCTGGGGGGCCCCGCGTGCCTCCCATGCAGCCACTGCCGCAGCGGACTCGGGGTGCAGGGGGGCGCGCGGAGCCCATCCGTCAGCACCCGTCTGCTGGTGACACCAGAGCCGGCGGAGCACCTCCGTGGGGCGCGCTGAGCCGCGGGGGCGGGCGCGGGGAGGGGGGGGGCGTGCAGGCCGCCCCCGCCCAGGTGACGGAGCCTGCTCGGTGGGCTCCCGCCCAGAGGTGGTTTTTCTTTTAAAGAAACGCAAATGTTCCAACTTTGCGGCGGCCGGAGCCAGCTCCCGGCTACAGCTGTGGTGTGCGGCCCTCTGGTCATCGTCCCCGAGACACAGGGTGTGAGGGCAAGAGAACTGCCCAGCCAGCAGCAGGGACCACATGGTCCCAGCGGGGGCGGGGAGGGGGTGTGGGAGCCCTGGGCTGCAGCCTAAAGGCACTGGGGAGTGCGGAGTTACTAAGGGACAGTCCTCAGGGCCCCACGGGACTGGGGGGAAATGGCCTGGGCTGGTGGGGAGCCCTGCGGACACCTAGGTCGCTGAGGGGGGCATGGCCACAGTAACGAGGCCTAACGTGGCCCAGCTCTGGAATGACCTGGGGAGGGTGCTGGCTGGGGCCTGCAATCTTCGGGGTCCCCATGATGGTGAGAGTATAAGCCCGGGGAGAAGTGGTAAAGTGCAAAGCAGCCTGGACACAGGGGCACATGGCCCTGAGGTGGGAGGTCCAGGACAGACCCTGAACACGCCCAGAGCCTCTTGCAGCGCATGGGGGAGGGGAGAAGCCAGCCAGGCTCAGAGTCTACGCGGTGGATACCCCCACTACAGTGACCTCAGGGCTAACCCGGAGCCCTCCTGCCACAGCCTCCAGAAGGCCCTGACCCCATCCGCCATGGGCACCAGGCCAGAGCCTGAGTGCAGTCTCTAAGCCTTAGTTCCCCGGTAAGAACAAGCGGCCAGTTCCTTGGGTCTATTGGAGTCTAATGAGGAGACCCCAAGCGAGACCCTATGGGGACTTGTAGGGGCAGCAGGGAGGGTGTGAGAGGCTCTGGTCTGGGAGGGGTAGGAACGTCACTGCTCTGGGCCCAAGCCCCTGGCACTTGACCTTTCGGAGCATCAGAGCAGGAGCAACACGTGCCTGGGGGAGGGGTGTGATAAGGAGGCCACTGCCCTGAGCTCTTGGCACTGTTCTTGGGACCCCAAACTCCTCCTCCAGCCAAAGTTGTTGCCATCTAGTCAACCCTACTGTGTGGTCACCTCATGTGCCTGGCACTGCTGTGCTTCCCTTTTCAATGGTCAGGTTCAGAAGGCCAGTGTCAGGCCTATCTTCCAAAGTGCCTCTGAGTAGATTTGAACCTTTAACCTTTCAGTTTGCAGCCAAGAGCCTATGTGCCTGCATCACCCAAGGGTTCCAAGGGTTCCTGAGCACACACCAATCACCAGCTGCTCAGCCCAAGTCCTCACCAGGGAGGTGGGGGTCAGGATAGACAGTCTGGTGCTTAAGAACTCACTGTCCACTGGCTGACTCCCAACTCCCTTCCTCTGTGAGGCTGCTGGTTGCCCAACCCAGGCGTGCAGAGCCTGTCCCTGCCCCTCTGGACAGCAACCCTGGTCCACCCACTCCCACCCCACTGTGACTGTCCCAATGCTCCACTCCAAACCCAGAAGCCCCATCCTGTTTGCTGAGTGCATGGCAAGCTCCCTGGGCTGGTCCTAGGAATGGCAGGTTTTCAATCCTGCTACCTCTCTGTTCAGGGTCTGCAGGGGGCTTGCCAGCCATCTCCACCTCATCTCACTCCATCTACAGACACACGCAGGACTGATCCCAGTACTGGCAGCCACTGGCTTAGCTCCGCAGAGTCTCACTGACCCTGCCCCAAAGTGGGGCCACTGGCGCCTGCCTTACTGGGGTGAAGGAGCCCTGCAAGCGCAGCGGCTCACTCCTCAGCGGCTATTCAGAAGGCTGTGGAACCCAGGAGGCTCTCTGTGGGACAGTGACTGGACAGTGTGCATCCTCACAAGTCCTGTGGGCCAGTTCTCCTCTGTCCTATAGAGGGCTGCTTGGGGTAAGAAACTACTTAACAGCAGTGGGGGTTTGTTTGCAAGATCTGAAAGCCCCTGCTGATGCTCTTGTTATTAGATGCCCTCGAGTTGAGTATGACACACAGCGACTCTATAAACAACAGATCTGGACCCCGTCCTATCCTGCGCCATCCTCATAAATTTTTACACACTTGAGCTCATTGCTGCAGTCACTGTGTCCATCTATCTCATCGAGGGTCTTCCTCTCTTTCGCTGACCTCCCATCTCTCCAAGCATGATGTCCGTCTCCGAGGAACAGCCTCTCCTAACAACATGCCCAGAGTATGAGAGATGGCGCTTAACTATCTTTGCCTCCAAGAAGCACTCTGGCTGTATTTTTTTCCAAGACATACCTGTTTGCTTGCCTCCACAGTCAACAGTTTTGGCACCAGCAGCCAGGAAATTAAAAGGTGCATTGCCATGGGAAAGTCTGCTGTTAGGGACCTCTCCAAAGTACTGAAGAGCCATGGTGTCTCTCTGGAGACTAAGTTACGCCTGATACAGGCCATGGTCTT